TGCAACAATACTTCCTGATTCAACAGCAAGCAGTGTTTCCACTTTTATTTTAAGGAATTTTCCTTAGATCAAGGATTTTTTGACTTCACAAGGATTTTGTTAAGGAATTACAAGATTTAAGGAATTTTTTAAGGAATTTCAAGATTCAAGCAATTTTTAGAGCATTAACTTTTTTCCAATAGTTCAAAATATTTTCAATGTTTGCTTTTTCAGATGTATAATATAACAGCGAAGGTTGTGGGAAAAAGTGGTTGTTGCCCCCCGATCTTCTTTGGTTTTGTTGTTGTTGTCACGTGGTCTTATTGACGAGTTGTGATGGGTGGTTTTTTGGTTGTTGTTCGATTGACTCTGGATCTGGAAGGAAGGACGCACGGACGTTGAAAAAAAAGGAACATTCTATTCTGACGAGCATAAAGACAAAGACGAACCTAAGAACCCTTGAACCGTATTATATACATATTCAGGTCACATTGTTTCGATTTTATTCTGATTGGGTTTGGTTCTTTAACAATTTTCCATTTAACTGATGGTTTCTTGTTTTCTTGATATTTACGAGTTGGAGTATTATCAATCTATTTAGTTTAACTTACATACAGTCCTCTTTTCTCGAATTTGAATCTATGGATCCTTAATTTTGAACCTTTTGGCGATTCTAACTTGTCAGCGTTGGAGAGGGAGTGTCATATATTTGTCACCTCTCTGTCTCCGACCCCGAATTGCGATCCTGTGGCAGGATAATTTTTACAAAGGTATAGCGTCTTATGCATCAGCAACAAAAAAGTTGCGGCAGAATTGTCTTAATGACGACCCAAGAGGTTGTCGGTTGTTGATTATTTTTATATCTTAAGGTCTTATATTTTCTTATAATAGAGCCGTTAGCGCTATTATGACCCATCACCGATTATAAAGGAAACACGATAACTTTTTCAGTATTTTTGAATAAGTCAGATCGTTTCTTTGGGCTTAAACACTTAGACTTAAAACTTCATTTCGAGTTTATCTATCGTCAAGATGAAGCGAAATTTTTGACGGTAAAAGTGCAGCTTTAAAAACAGGAAAGAGAAAAAGATACTAGCAGAAATTTCGGAATACGTGGCTAGAAGATCCCCTTTTCAAGTTTTATAATTTGTGATGATTATTTAACTAACTAAATGTTAGTCATGGCATGAGCAATCTTTGGGATAAAACTAACAAGGACAAATTCAAAGAAAATAGAATTCCGGTTTAAGGAATTTTAAGGAATTTAAAAAATTTCAGCCTCGCTTTAAGGAAATTTAAATTTGAATAGTGGAAGCACTGACAGCAAGTGTTGTTTTTATTGCACAAGTGAGGGCAGTTCGTACTGCCTTTGAGTCTTGTCCTTGAAATATGAGCCGGCAAGGAGAGGAACTTCTTTGTGAACAAGATCCTTGAAGGGGTTTTATTCTGTTACACCGTTATTCATGCCTGTTTGTTAAACCATCAGATGTGAACGTGTCCTACGTCTCGTTTATTTCTCGGCTGCAGCAGTACTTCCTTGTCTGATAAGCGATTATGTTGAGCACTTTGTACACGAGCACCTGTGATAGAAAAATATAATCGCGATTCAGTCTTTCCCTTTTCCCACCAATTTAATGAAATCGAGTTCGCCAATCTAGTGAAAGCTTACACACAGTAAAGTCTGTTTATTAGGCTAGTCTCCCGTTTGTTTTAGGCCAGTAGGCCAGGCTCGTGTTTGTGAAAGTTTCTGCCTTGAAATACTTTAAATTGTAAAGATAATGGAAAAATAAAGAATTTAGTTTACCTTTGTCATAGGTCAGCGTGTAGTGTAATGGTCATATATCTAATTTGTTCTTCTTGAAGAATATCAAAAGAGTTGGTGTCATTTAACTTTGGCTTTGAATGTGCTTTGCTTTAGAATCATCTCATATCAAATGCACAGAAACTTGAAATAACAGTAGGACTATACTAGAAAGAATCAATTGAAAAATGAATTTTATGCTTCTTAGGTCTCTAGGAGGCTAACAGACTCCTTAAAATTAAACATTTCCCGGGCAACTGCCCCTAGTTGCCCCCTTAAATCCGCCACTGAATCCCAGCCTTCATTCCTCACTGTGAAATATTCCTCTCGATAGTTATAGCCCACACGATCTTCAGAGAGTTGGATTATAAACGCCCCCATGTGTTATTTACTAGACAATTAATTCACATTTCCGCTTGTTTCTGGGTTGTTCTGCTTGTTCCTTGGTTGTTCCGCTTGTTACTGGGTTGTTACTGGGTTGTTCCGCTTGTTACTGGGTTGTTCCGCTTGTTCCTCGTTTTAGCAACGTCGGTTTTTATTGTTGTTTATTCTCGGCGTATTGCGGTGTTTCATATTTGCTACATTTTTATCGACTTTTCGCCGCAAGAACTCCTTGGAGCCCGTCGAGCAGCCTGCTACAGTGGCCTTTTCTTCATTCACATATGAATAGTTTGATTGTTCTTTACATTCTGAACAACATGAACCAGAACATTTGTGTACCCAGACAGGTTCGCATGCTAAATTCCACCATTCGTTTTGGGACTATAAACTCCCCAGTTGCTAATTCTAAAGATTTTTTGAAGTATCCAAAGATGAACGCAGAAGAATAACAAGACAAATTTGCTTTGCTATCTTGTTCATTGGTATCAACCATCGTGTTTACATCTTACGATGCATCTAAATTCACAATTAACGCGCTCTCTTTTAAATCTACAGTCCCTGGTTCTGAGTAACGCTACAAAAATTCTCCAATTTTAACCACCAATAAGAAGCAAGAATAACATGTGCAGTTTTACGTCAACTAAAGCTAATTAACAGCAATTTTTATGCCTATAACACGCTGAACGCTTATAACTAAATTTACCTAAACATGTATCTGTAGCCAAGTTCTGGAGTAAACAAGGTTCTACCGCGATCCTAACGAGTTCACCATGCGATCCATCTAAGTGAACCGCAGGAAAAACAACTAATCACTACGCAATTCTGTATTTATAGCAAATAATTTACCAACTACGTGTAGCAATTATGGTTAGAAGAAAATTGCCGGAAAGAAATGGAAAAGTTCCGACAATTCGTTTCGGTTCCCTGTTTTTTAAATACTTGGCTACGTGTTTGTATAAGCAAAATTGCCATGCGTTTGTGTACCCGGACCGTTTTGCATGCTAAATCTCACCATTCGTTTTGGTAACCTATTGTTTAAGTGCTTGGGTACAATTTTGCATAACCAAAATTGCCATGCGTTTGTGTACCCGGACCGTTTTGCATGCTAAATTCCACCATTCGTTTTGTAACCTATTGTTTAAGTGCTTGGGTACAATTTTGCATAACCAAAATTGCCATGCGTTTGTGTACCCGGACCGTTTTGCATGCTAAATTCCACCATTCGTTTTGTAACCTATTGTTTAAGTGCTTGGGTACAATTTTGCATAACCAAAATTGCCATGCGTTTGTGTACCCGGACCGTTTTGCATGCTAAATTCCACCATTCGTTTTGTAACCTATTGTTTAAGTGCTTGGGTACAATTTTGCATAACCAAAATTGCCATGCGTTTGTGTACCCGGACCGTTTTGCATGCTAAATTCCACCATTCGTTTTGTAACCTATTGTTTAAGTGCTTGGGTACAATTTTGCATAACCAAAATTGCCATGCGTTTGTGTACCCGGACCGTTTTGCATGCTAAATTCCACCATTCGTTTTGTAACCTATTGTTTAAGTGCTTGGGTACAATTTTGCATAACCAAAATTGCCATGCGTTTGTGTACCCGGACCGTTTTGCATGCTAAATTCCACCATTCGTTTTGTAACCTATTGTTTAAGTGCTTGGGTACAATTTTGCATAACCAAAATTGCCATGCGTTTGTGTACCCGGACCGTTTTGCATGCTAAATTCCATCATTCGTTTTGGTAACCTATTGTTTAAGTGCTTGGGTACAATTTTGCATATACCGGTATGATGTCGTAAGGGGTGAAAGGGAGAGGGGTCGTTGGTACCGGTACCTGAATTTATTTAGTCCCAGAAGAAGAAAGAGAATATAATCTTTAAGAAGGCTACAATAGACTTGTGTTGCAAGCGTGATAGTGATTTCAAGTTGTTTTTACACGTGAAGTTGTGTCAGTATAAATAGTCTACTGAAATTTTAAGTTCACACGCCGACCCCTCCCCTAAGGATATCAGAGCATCTGTACTGTAGTGGATATCAGAGCATCTTTTACTTGATGCCAAACTTATGTCTAGGTTTTCATTTTCTAGCTAGAGTTATTAGCTTTAGCAATCCTTTGTTAAGTTGATGATATTTTTCTTTTCGAACTCTTTGTAAATTGATTTATGTTTGACATGTCATTACCTGCCGGTACCGACATCGTGTAAACGGCTTAGCCCATCGTCTCGAACCGAATGCCATTTTTGAGATGTTCTTTTGAAATGTTAAAAATATTCGAAAGACTACCAGAAATACAAATTTTTAGAAGGTGTTATTGTTTCAAATACAGAGAAATCTCCCGTTTTTAGTTCGTATCGAAGTCAGTGATCCAAATCATTCCTTAAATTTCTCAGACAGATATTCGATACAAAAACAACCATTCTTTTTTTCACGCTATTTAAACTACTAAAATGTTCAAGTGATAAGTTAAACTTGTTGAAAAGCAAACAGCTAAACTTACGGTTTTTAAAGTGTTTAAACTGTCATCTTAAGTCAACTTTATTCAAATCTTAAACGTTCGCTACGAACATACCATAGTTACAAGAATCACAGAGAACTACAGATAGCGATATAGTTCAATTAAACAATAAATTTATATCAAGTGGGCCCTAGAACATTACATTGCCTGGTACATCTCGAAACAAGAAGACTTGTTAAAAAGCGAACGAGTCAACAGAAAGGAAAATGTCAATTATGAACATGATTTGAAAATTAGCCATAAGTCAGTCTTGAAGTGTCCTGTTCATACTAAACCGTTATGGAATTGGCAGAAGTTGGTTTTTCTTAAACATATAAGAAGGGACAATTACCATTTATAGATGGCCAGTGCTTGCCAAAAGGACTAATAATTCAGATTAATAGTTCTGTCGACGAAATGTAACCAAATGCGTTACTTGTGTTGTGATCCAGACGGCTGATGACAAGATCGAAAACTGTAGTAACAATATTAGGGGCAGGGTCTCAGCAAACGGTCTTCCCTTTTCACTGGGAAATGCTCGGTTCCGTTTCTACATATGACCGGACACTAAACGCATCAGCGTTGCCTCTTCTCAATCAACATCATTAATTTTAAAGCTAGTTATTGGATGCGTAAATTGCATGCAAATTGTGATACGATAAAGGGCTTGTGAACCAAACCAGTTTCTGTCAGCCCTATTTACAATAAACAAAAACATAAACACCTTTGGAAGCTTTTTCGCTTCTCAATGTCTCATGCTAAGATACGATCTGTACAATAAAGTGCTTCTTCATCTTCTTCATCTCCCTGTTCTTTTTTGCTTCTTCTTTTCTTCTCCCTTCTTAGTGCAATACAATTGAATTAACCTGAATAAGGCGGAGGAGCAATATTTGCTCCATGACCGGAATAGCTGAAAGAGAAAAAAGTTAATAGTCACTAGTTGAAAAGTAATCGTTTCAGTGGGACGGATCAAGGACTGATTGCAAGAAAGGTTTAGCAAGCTTTTTGGAAATGTATCCAAGTATGTAAAGTAATTGTGCAAAAGTGATCATCTGCAAACAACTCGGAGAACAAAATACATCCTTTGGTTTATTCTTGGGAGAAAAGGTTTTCAAAGAGTGAATGATGATAGACAGGCAGCATAAATGAAAGTGAAACATAAAACAATAAATACAGAGAAGCAGTAACTATCATATCGTAAAGTCACATTTATATAATTGCGGTAGTGGAAAATCTACCTGCCGACTGTTTGCTGATTCATTAGAATTACACACTGTTTAAATAAAGTTTTTAGATTAAGTTTATATTAGATTAAGTTTGTTTGAATCATTAAATCAAATTCAAATTCAAAGAATGCATCAAGGCAATACAGATTTTTTTATTTTCGTGATATATTTATGGTTCCATCAGAGAACTGTTCGCATCTGACAAAAGATGATAGACTCTCGGCAAGTAAAGACAGATTAACATGACGGTGGAGACACGGGGATAGCACAGGCATATGCTCGTATACGAGAGCCAATGAGCATATTTCAAGTCAAAGCATGACGGTACCATGTTTCGAAAACCTTAGACCAATTTAAGTGTCCCTTTTATGATTCATTTGGAACTACAGTTTGTGTTCAAAATGGAGATAGAAGAAGGGTTTGGCGGATTGGGTTCAGGCGTTGCCTTTTCCTCATTGCACGAATGTGATTGCTCGCAAGAATTTATTGGAGACACGAGAATATGTTGTAACGACGATTCAAAGGTTTTACTTACAAGTAAGTACCCTTTACTCTGGGTAGAGTGGTGGGGCACTTGCAGCCTTACTCCTATTGAAAGAGGAACAAATTGTTAGAAAGAGGAACAGATGAGAACGAGTTAATTGTTTTTACACTCCCATTACAAAGTAAGTGATTTACTTCAAATAAACCAATGTTTACGCCTTCGATAAGACAGTTCTAATAACGACAACCTTCGATATGAACATGCGCCGAGTCAGAATCTGTTAAAAATTAACCGCTTTATTGGAAATGAAACCTAACATCATCTTAGGTAAGGCAAGACAGTATGAAATTTTTCATTATGATAATTGGGCAACTAGTTTGGATAAAAATGGCCCTTTTATTCAAGATGTTTGCTGTACATTTTCTCGGACATGAAATTCAATGCGAGAAATGTTTCAGTATGCAATGTTTCCGCTATTTGCTGGAATCTTCAAATTTTGCGGTCCCAAAAACTTATTCGGCTGAAGCTTAATCAGGCGGAGATAAATGAAAGGTGTAAAGATTTGGGTTATTTTTTCAGGAAAATTACCATCTTCTCAATTAGTTCTAATAAACATTTCATTCCCCTTGGTCGAAAGAAGCTTGACCAAGGCTTTAAAAGACTTTTTGACAACCATATTCTCTTTGGAATAAATTATTTCCAAAACCAAACTCTCCCAGCGAAGGAGAGTAGAGCAAGAGGAAACGCTAATAGTGGATGGACAGCACAAAGAAGGATTGAACATAGCTCAATGTTGTCTTTGAAAAACATAATTTGACCAAGTATGACACACACATTTGCATATTGTGCAGTGGCGGCCGGCACGAAAATAAGATGGTACTTGTAAAGCAAATTTTTTTAGCAGAGCGAGCCAGCTAAAGGAAGGGTGGCGTAAGGGCGTTGTCCCTGGAAAATATTGGTTTTTATAGCTAATATGGCCAAATTGTCTTTTAATGGCGGTTCAGAAGTTTTCATACAATTCTCGGTTTGTTTGATGTCATGTGATAATGCCAGCTGCAAGGGTTAAAAAGCCTCGCAGCATTTTATCGCTAGAGAGAGGAATCTATTACTGCGAACGATTTTTTCATTGTTGGATTGTTGAATAACAAACGGTTTTACGTCACATTGAATCACAAATGACAATGAGACAGACTTTCCCAGTACTGGATGAATGAGGTCTAGTACCGTTTCAATGAGAATTAAGATAAGGAGGGTCAGTGGCAACTCCAAGTTTCACGTTTCATACTTACATGGAGCGAAAAATGAAATGAAGATGAAAAGCTGCCAAAACGGAAATGAAAATGAACGAATTAATTTTGAGGTATGATGTCCATAAGACCTTTCTGTTCACGAATTTGAGGCAACACGAACTTTCTGTTCAATGTGACAAGCAGGCATCAGTAAGCTTATCCAGAACTGGCCTACGACTACAAGCGATTGCGTCCACAAAACCAAATTCGCTTCACTAGACAAGAAACACAAGATAATCAGATGATGCTCAGCAATTTGTTGCTAGAGCAGCGGTATTCTTGCTAAACGTTCTCTGAGAACATATCAGAGTCTTGAAATGCAGCTTATCTGCTTACCCGACGTTCATTTCAAACTTTTTTTAATAGGCTTGATTTTATTTTGGCTTTGCTTCGCGTGTTCTTTATGTTGAGTGGTCTTTATGTAGCGTGGAGTTTAGGTTACATGGTCTTTATGTTTCGTGGTCTTTATGTTGCGTGGTATTTACTTGAAGTGGTCTTTATGTTGCGTGGATTTTATGTTTCGTGGTCTTTATGTTGAAGTGGTATTTATGTTGAAGTGGTCTTTATGTTTAAGTGGTCTTTATGTTGCCTGGTATTTAGGTTGCTTGGTATTTAGGTTGCATGGCGGTTAAGGTGCTTTGCGGACCGTTATGAATAATAATGACTTGATGGTTAATACAAATCTCTAACAAACATCAATAGGTGATTAAAAAAATTATCTTCTTAAACTAAGGTTATTAAGCAGCTGAGACTTGCAAAGTAACACGGATACACTTTGGTGGCCTGAGTGGGTATCGATGTGAATGACGATGTTCACTAACGATGCGTGCAATGATGTGAGCCTGATGGGGTGCAGGTTAATTACCTTTCATTGTCACGTGCAGCGCCGTGGTTTCGGCTTATTATTCGATCTGATAATCTATCAAAAAATAAGGCACGTTAGTTGACCTTATTGATCGACGGACAAATCTTCCAGAAATATATATCCAAATCATGGAATACATAAAAGGTCATTTTCTGGTTGCTGTTATTTCTTTGTCTCTAAATAAACTCTTACGCCTTAAGAAACTTGAGACAGTGATCATTTTGAGGTACATTCTTCTACAGGTATTGCTTTTTCCACTTCATGCTGCATTCAAAAGAAAAATGTGCAACTTTGGCAATGTATGACTACATGGGAATGTTTGTGCGGTGTTTGTTGCAACAAAAACATACCGTACGTTACAAATTAACAACAGTGAACTAGCAGGAAAAATTGCGTAACCTTGAAAATGTTTCAATGCATGCGGTAAAGAATAAGGTTAACAAAGGGCAGGTGTAAATTCGGGGCTTCTGAACACTGGGTCGAAAAACTTTAGGAATTAATAAAAGGAAACGCTAATCTTCATTTTCCAACAACAGCCTTCCTCTAAAAAACACTTTTTACATAAAAGCATAAATAATGAAAAGAAACAGTTTCTTTTAAAAAATCAGTTACTTGCCTCTGCAAGGCACTGACCACTCAGTGATCAAATATTGGTTTATGTACTATGCATGAAAATGACAACGGATGATCGACAGTTTTGCTAGAGCCGTTAAGGTTGACTGATATTGTGAGACGATATTTTGGTTAGTTCTAAGATTTTCTGACAAAAATTAGTCTTGGTTAGTGATTAGCTTTTACCGGGCACGCCACAAGCCCCTCATTTAATTAAAGATGCTATAAAGTTAGTTGTTACTTCTATATTCTGACTGGTACATAGAGCACAAGACAAATCAGAACATGCATTCTCTCTCACAAGAAAAGTTAGTTTGATCAAACAAGTCACAACTGAAGCATGGAGAAAATCGATGACTTGCCTGTTTCCGCTTTTGAAACAAGGCTTACAACAGCAGGTTCATATCATATAAATGAATATTTAGGCACGATGCCCTATCAGCTACTACAAAACCTATCAGTTATAAATTGTTATTTAATAAAAAACCTAAAAGGCTGCTCTTCCTAGGGGTCGTGCTTTTAATTACCACTAAGGTAGATGAATGCATCCAGATCCCCACCGCCCCACAACACCCATAAGGACGGCACCCGGCAGGCCCTAGTCCGGTCCAAAACAGACCAAACCAAGACCTACTGGGCCCCACTCCCAAAGCACCACAAGGCCCCAGGGACCAAAACGCACGCAACCACATTAGCTCCTGAGGAGTTGTTTAGCTTCCTTTTTGAAGCAATTTTCATTTGTTAAAATTCTGTACATTGAACCTATTATGCATAAATTTGTGCACCTCACTAATTGGTTAGGATTGCAATGAAGGTTGAGACTTCACTGTATGTAGCAAAACAGATTTTCACTGGGTCTTTTATCAAGGTGAAATTCGATTATCAAAACTATTGAGGTTCAGGAGAACACTTACTCATTTAGCGGGATCTTCACTGGGTGCTGTTGCATTTCATAACCAGGGTACCTGAAACAAAATAATGACTCAGTCTGGAACAAAAAATAAAAATAAACAAAGTTGAACCCGGTTTCGCAAAAACATGAAAATCAAACAGAAGAACTTTTTGACATTTCTGCCATGTAGAGATAGATCCGGGTAATAAATGATTCACTCTCTGCGACCCGTCTTTGATTCAACCCGGGATTGTAGCTACAATCCTGGACAAAAATGTTGAGACAAAATTCAATTTTTCTTATTTTCTACTTTACCTTTTCCCTGTAAATACGAATCCCCCCCCCCCCCCCCGAAGCAATGTTGGATTTGTAGTTCTATCATTTTTGCTCCAAAATCATGCATTCAACATTGAATTAGGGGAGGGAGGTGGGAGCCGCTATTTTTCAAAGGAAAGAGAAAATATAAAGTTTTCTTGAAAAGTCTCATATATTTTGTCCGGGATTTTAGGTAGCCTCCTTACTGGCAAAACAACTTATATACGGAGGCTATCTATTGCTAGCACATGTTTGTCAAGTTTCTGTTTTTCAAAAGGCGTGGGATCCATTGTTTTTCTTAATTAGTTTCATTAGTCTATTGTATTTTCTATTCTTATTCCCCTCTCCAAGGGCTTCAGGGCGAGCGGCAGTGATACAGCAACAGCGATAGAGAGGACCACTTGTGTAAAAAAGCTCTCCATTGATCAATGTATAACAAAGCTCTCCATTGGTCAATATATAACAAAGCTCTCCGCCCAAGTCTTTAAGGTCCCCAAGAGTATTTTCACTGAATAAAGCTTGAGTGAAACCCACAATGGATAGACACATTTCAATGTGCACTGGGTCATTTCAAGGATAATTATGGCAAGAAGATTTTCACACGCCTAATTTCAAAGTTTTGCAGCACAACCTTGTGACAGCTTGTGGCTACTAACAGCGAAGTTCATAACAAACACCTGGATAATTATGGCAAATGACGAGGAACTGAGAGATGATCTACTTGACTGTTTCTCCCTTTTCGATCGAAAAGGTGACATGAAAGTAGAATCAGGGCGTATTTGCGATGTACTTCGTTCTTGCGGGTTAAGCCCAACTGCAGAGAGCGTAAGCAAAATGCTTGAAGAATCAAATCTGGTGGGGAAACGAGTAGACTTCGAGACATTCTACCAAATGTATTTGGAAGTGGCATCATCAAAACCTTTGGTTGGTTATGAAGATATAGTGGAAGGATTGAAAACACTTGACAGAGATCAGACGGGTACAATATCATCGGCTGAGCTACGTCATCTCCTCATGAACATTGGAGACAAAATGACAGAAGAACAAGTTAACTTCGTGCTCAGTATTCACGGAGAGGGCACAGTGCATTACCAACAGCTCATACAGATGGTCATGAAAGAATGAGGACATACTCAAAACGTTGATGTATGGGCTGGGCATGCCCTCGGACTGTATCCTATGTAGTTAGATACTTGTCTTAGTTCATAATAATCACTACTTCAACTTTAGCTTTGGTAACATTCAGGTAACAGCATATATACCTGGTAACAATAAATACTTGATTTATTTAAACACCCAGAACACTAACAGCCTTTTTTAAATTCAATCAGCCAGTCATGGCTAAAAAAACAATTCTTATTCCATCGGTTTTTCAACTTGCAGAAGTCTGTATATGACTGAATATGTTATATTCAATGGATCTCAATGATTACTGATTCTTTTGATTTGATGAAATTTGCTGGCCTGTGAAAGCTCATCGGATTCTGAATATCACTGAAATTAAGCACGAGCCTTGTGAGTACAATGACTCGGGGCATTGGGAGAAAACAAATAAAGGAAACTATTCCTATTTATTCCTATTCAAAACTGAGCCGCAAAAATTTTGTGGATATAATTTGAGCATCGAAAAAACAACCTTAAAACCACTGCAAGTGGCACGGTGTAAACAATCAGCTCTCAATAAAAAGAAAAGATGATGTTTACTCGTTTTAAAATTCCTAAAAATTAGAGTACTTACGGGTCAAACTCCGCTTTGCCTTTCATGATCCTCAAAAATTTGGCAAGCTTGACACCAAAGATAATGGCAAAAACAAAGAAGAACAAGCACCATCCCATCGCTATCCAAAAACCATTCTAAAAAGAAACAAAGCACGTGTTTAAAGAAAAATGAAACAAGGCTTTTTAAAGGGGAACTGAAGTGAACAACGATTTTTGTACCACTGATAAAGGTTCCCGTGCTGATTCAAAAACCGTTTGAATTTTTTAAATATGTTATGTAGTTTTTAAGTTATTAAGTTTTTAAAGTCGAAATTTGCCCTCATCGATGGCGGAGCGAGAACGCGGTCAGACCACTGTGTCACGTGACCTTGTGACGTAAAGTGGTGGACACGAAGAGGTGTTTTGATGAAATGTAGTAGTGAGTCTGATAAGGTTCATGACAGGTAACAATCGTGAAAATTGTGATAAAAGCATGCAACTTAGTGAAAATACAGAATTCGATAAGCGTAACAAGATAGAATATAGACCCATTTTGGGAAAAAAACCCTTGTGCTATTTTTAGCCTGGGGTACTTGTGCCCAGTACTCAGAATATGTTGGCATGGTCAAGCTATTTCTGTGAACTATACAGCCATGAAACTTGGCAAACCGACACAATTTGACTTGCTGAAAATGATAAGAATGGTCCCCACCCTTAGAAATGCCCCTTGTGCTATTTTTGGACTGGGGTACTTGTGCCCAGTACTCAGAATACAATAGTATGGTAAATATATTTCTGTTAACCATACAGCCATGAAACTTGGGAAATCTACACAATTTGACTTGCTAAAAAAGATAAAAATGGTCCCCATCCTCAGAACTACCCCTTGTACTATTTTTAGACTGGGTACTTGTGCCCAGTACTCAGAATACGTTAGTATGTTAACTATACAGCCATGAAACTTGGCAAACCCACACAATTTACTTGCAGAAAATGATAAAAGTGGTCCCCCACTTCAGAAATACCCCTTCAAACATGATTTATCATGCTTTGTCTACAGAACATGATATCAAAGCATTTTCTGATTTAACTCCAGGCATAAAAAACAATTCATACCAGGATGTACATAAAGGGGGAGGATTTAAAGCACAACCATTAAATGATGTATATGTTTCCAAGTTTATTAAATGTTGAGTTGAAGCGAATTTCAGAAAAATACAACCATTGGGCACAAAAAAACTTCATTCTCAAAATTTAAAAACAGTGTATCTAAACAACAGGCAGTGACAGAATACATTAAAAGAACATTGTACCCTGAAGGTAAAACATTTTCCTCTGATTATTTATAAAAAATGTTACCAAGCAGGTGGTACAGGACCATTATTGTAAGAGAAAATCTTGATCAAATCCAAACTATTCTACACATTTTGATGTGAGTGAACTATGTTGAAAAGTACACCTTAGGAATCTTAAAAATATCAAGCCTTGCTCAATCCCCCCCCCCTTGATGTGACTAATCTAGTGATTTGGCATAGGGCTGACAAGATTTGGCCATTGTCCCACTAGTTTCAACAAATTTATCTTCTTGCTATTGTGAACTAAAAGTCTGGTCCTTTTGAATAACCCCGTGTATATAACCCTGTTCTCCACTGTATGTGTAGCTGATTTTTGCATTTTCATTGTCTCTCTGCAGAATTTTGAAACTCTTGTCTTCTTTGACTAATGTTCTTTTCTTTACATTTGTGATAAATGCATACTTAAAGTTGTCCAGTTATTCCAGCACAAATACCCAAAAACCAGCAAACCATACATTGATCGGCCACTGTTTGTAGATACCTAGCAAAGTGGATATCATTTTAGGTATTATTCTATTTTAGGCATATTTATGCAATTCTATTAAATATTTGACATTTTCGAATTATCAGTCCAAAAATCTGAATTGCAGGAAGATTTAATAATACTTGTCAATGTACACAAAACAAACCAGTTTTTAAACCAAAAGTGGATTAGGTCGACCTGTTGTAGCACACACATCAAACTATGTATAAACGTTTTTATATCAAAGCAAATTTTTATTAAATTGTAACATGTAATAATCCTTATTATTTCAGATTTTAGAAATGGAAAGATTATAATAGGAAGCCTACTCATTCTCTGTTGTATCTTACTTTTTATAAGGAAATAAGGAAATTGAGTTTGAGTATTTCTTGCCTTCATTGCAAGAAAAGAAACAAGGATCGACGTACCATTTATTTACTTCCTCATTTCTACCAACAAAACGAGCACGTCGCGGGAGATAATTCATCCTCATCCTCTGGGATCTCATCGGGCCTAGGCTAATCTTCATCGCCACTTTCGCAGGTCCCGTTCGCCCTTGGTAGGGCAAGTACTTCACCACCACATGCTCCAAACACTTCATCGTCGCTCGATCTTAAGTCTGTTGTCATTCCTGAAGAGCTGTCGTGAAAATTGCGATCTGAAATTTTAACTACTAACCAAATTCCCTCCCTCCGATTCACTCTACTACAATGTTGTTTTCGTTAGGTTCGGGGCACGTGTCCACGACTTTACGTCAGCGCCTGAAACTTGTCTCCAGACCTCTCCGCCACGGAAATGGAGAAATTTCACACTTTGCGCGTTAAATGTAGGAAAACGAAAAGAAAAACACTAATTTCGTGTCGACATTCGAAATCAGCACGATGAAAACTACTAATTAAATTATTTTTATTTTTCACTTCAGTTCCCCTTTAAAGAGAAAAACAAAGTGATGAGTAAATCGAATGGTTTTTTCACAGGTAGAGAAATCACTTGACAATTCCAAAAGGCAAACGGAAAAAAGAAAAATAAGTTTATCATGCCTGTGAATAATTTTGCCCATTAAAAAAAAATGAGAGAGAGGACCTTGCCTGTTATTTTAATTTGTGAAAAAACCATCGGGAATCTAAGTAAAAATAACCGCAGTTCAGAATTAGAGATCTTATTTTGCAAGAAAGCTAGAGGGATTTTTCCCAGGTATCCATTTGCAACACGGATTTGCTTGAATTAATTTTGTCACGTTCAGACTCAACTGACGTCGCTGATTAGTGACGACGCCACTCACGAGCCTTTACCTACAAAAAGTTGGTCAATTTAATCGCAATGTGTATTCGCATTGACATGCTTTCAGCTTGCTACAACTCTTGCATAAACATTTTGCGATATGATCTCCTTCGTTATCAGAACCAAAGCCCAGCAGGTTTGACATATTTCAAAACTTGTACAACTGTTTGGAAAGCCTAACAAGCTTATAACTGGTTGGAAAATTTATCCTAGTCTCGTACAGGGTAAACACTTCTAGACTATTACTGGTAAAAACGAGACAAGACTGTCTGAAAACCACAAAACAACGAAAAAATCACAGAACACAATTTGTTGTTACCTACCACCCCTCTTTATCACAACTATCTACCATTCTCAAACAAAACATTAACATATTACAGAACTCCAAAACATGCAAAGAAGTCTTCCCTGACGTACCTATACTTAGCTACCGCAGACCTAAAAATCTTCGGGATATACTGGTTCGTGCCAGAATAAAAATGGGACACGCAGTAATCCCAGAGGCACTTACAAATGCCACTCGCGACGTAACTGCATAACATGCCAACACATTACAGACGGTACTACTACATTTAATTTTACTAACACTGACAAAAACTACGACATAAAACAAAGACTGGGTTGCAACTCTAATAACGTTATTTACTCATTACAATGCAAACGATGTTCAACTAACGGAAACAAGAAATGCCAATACATCGGACAAACAAGCAGACGATTGAAAGACAGATTTAACGAACACAGACGAGACATTATCAACAAAAAAGTAGCCAAGTCTGGTGTTGCAGAACACTTTTGCAGCCCAGAACATACCATCAATGACCTTACAATAACACAATTACTGCAACTTAACGACAAACGAGAGAGTGTTCGACATGCCAAAGAGCAATACCTCATTGGCCTGGCAATCACTCTCACACCGAACGGCATGAGCCGAACCACTGACCGTTACTCTTACAGCAACACACCATCATCATCGCCACTTTTTCTACTACCCATACATTACTATTCTACAATCATTATCATTACTCTCTACATTCCCGTAATAATTTTCTTTTCTCTATTTAATTAACTTTTCATTTTTTACTATAGTCACTATCATCACCATTATTCAATACTTTCATACTTTTTTTTGTTATCACCACTACCCACCTTCATTACACTTTCATTTCACCACCACAACCCACACTCTCGCACTCGCCACCCTTCCCTCCTCCACATCTATTACCTATTCCTCTCCGCTGCGCTGCATTCACACCATTCCAAATGAACCAATCCGACACCACAATCGCCTCTTTGAAATTTGTAAATTTTTAGTTCGTTGACTTTTGCTCTGATGAAGCCCCGTATGCCGGGGCGAAATATTAGCCATCACTAATTTGTGTGTTTGTTGTTCTTTATTCTCGTCGCGTTGCGGCGTTCCTTATACACTACTATTATATCGATTTTTCGCCGCAAGATTTCCTCCGGAGTCCGTCGAGCAGCCTGCTATCGTGGCCTCTCCTTTATTCGCGCACAAACATTTCTAATTACGTGCCTGCAAACAAGACCTTGGCCAAAGGGCTGAGCCTCTAACTGAACATTTCACGGAACAATGCGAAGGCATGTGATGATTAAATGACCCAGTTTATTACATAACAGGTTTCTTTCTGCGTTGCAAGTTAAACTTCTTATGCCTCAAATTTACTCAGGGAAATGTCCAGTGAAAAGTTTGGTCGACTGGCAGAGGGTTATTGGGCAAGCCAATTGAAGAAGGGGGAAGGGGTGTTGAAAATTGAAGAAATGGCATCATTGCATAAAACAGAATGACAGATACTCACGAAATTGCCAACAATCCCTTGGCAGAAATAAGTATTTAGGAGTCCATCATAAATATTGGCCACTGGGGTGCACCTTGCAATGTTCGTTTGAAGCTATAAAGAACAATAAAACAAACTGATAATCTAGCCACGGTAGTAATAATGAAATAATATCTGACTAGCAACAATCATCTTTTCATGGCTACGTATACACACCAGATTTTTATCAGTACTAGATGGGACCTTTGCCCCTTTAGCATCGTCATCACTAGCAAAATATCTCTTACATGCACTAGATCATTTGCAACCATAGTGGGTTAAAATAAGCATTCGCACTCTTTGTGTTAAAATTATATCGTGCAGAGAATCTCGTGCCATACTGTTCCAAGAAGGTAGCCAATCAGGTTGCCGTTAAAAGGAATTTCTAGCCCATTTGTTCTAGGACAATTATTATTAAACGTCTTTTAATCCCGATATCCCACCACAGTTTCGTACCATGACAAAAAAGCCCGAACGAATTTTCGCAATATCACATTGTTTTTTTTACCTTGGGTGGCATTAAAGCAGATGTAGTATCGTGTAATATCGTATTGAGTAGGTAACATCATCGACAAAGAAAAAATATCATACAGTCCCTACAAAAATCTTATGGTGTGCTTGGCTTTATTCACAAGTTGGAAAGAAGCGACTGGTAAGTGCAGTTGGATGCACTGAACGTAGCAGCTAAAGGCGACCATGAAGCAAAGCTAAAGGCGACCATGAAGCAAAGCTAAAGGCGACCAAAACGCACAGCTACAGGCGACCAAGAAGCACAGCTGAACGGCTCTGTCTAGTTAACGCTGACTAACAGAAAAGGCCTGTAAAAAGATATTCTTGACTATCTGGGGGAGGGGCCACAAGAGAAAACTTAGATAACAGACAGAGAAGATTCGAGAAAGGAGAGGTGGAATACTATTTAGGATAGAAGCTTCTGAAAGTAATTCAAATTTAATGGAAAGCCCTATGTAAAAAATTTTAAAGACATTCTCAACATAATTTATTAAAAAGATGCTATCAAAAAATTTCATCATAATAGATGAACCAAAAAATAACAGAATAATTTGCTTTCATAATAAATGAAGGCAAAAAAAGTTATTAGTTTACAGTCTACCCCTGCTCTACAGTGAACTTTCTAACTCAATGGCACTCCTCTGTTATAGATGGAGGCTCCTTCTTGATACATACATGTTTAAACCTTGTATGAAAAAGCGAAAAGTATATAAGATGTACTGTGTCGTAACGGCACTGAATATGGAAAACTACTCTCGATATAGTCTTAGATTCATTAATCTGTCCAAAAAGAAATTTACCTCATTAAGAACATGGGTCACAAATTGCGCTGGCCAGCTTAAAACTCGCTTTGTGTATTGTTTTATTAACTGAAAATGAAAAAAATTAGTCATATGAACAGCCACTTACTCTCAGCATTATTTACCTTAAGATTGAAGGTACGTAACATGTGAATGATGAAATGAAGATTAAAGGTAATGTAACATGTAATTTGCAACATTTAATGCAACTCTAATTTGAATCAAATATGTTTAATGTAATGGCCACAGGGTTGCTATGTATTTCCATGCTCCCTGTGGTATCGTCTTGTAGTTGTCTGTTTTGTAAAATTTTATGAGAATATAAAAAAAAGGTAATGTAACATGTGAATGTTGAAATGTCATTGCTGACAAACGCAAAACATTCACAGTGTGCACCAATAAACATGATGTACTTTTGCATTCATCACTCACAGTTGCAGTGAGGACGTTTGAGAGCATTCTTCATGTCATGAAACATTACTGCAAAAGCTCTATTAAAGGCAATCGACAGGTACTAATGGGGCTTAAGCCAATATATATTTGTATTTATATTTGTCGATTGCTTTTAAGCTCTTGGGTGCTTATTTAATTTTGAAGGTTCTATAGAGGGATGGGTATTTAAAAAAGAGGTGAAAGAGAAATGTCCACAGCTTGAAAGACTCTATTGAAAACATAGATGGTTATTTGCCAATCGAACTGCCATTTTTGTTTGCAAATTTTCCCAACAAGAAGGCTCTTTTCACATAATCACATTAAAAGAAGTAAGGATGCTTGAAGATGGACTGGTTGTTCTGGGCTACTGCTAATGTGAGCTTTCAAAGCTACCAGATAAATCAAAGGTAGAACTGGACAAGCCAGTTTTGACTTCGGTCAAAATGACGTTAGAAATATTAATCAATGATAAGAAATATTAGAAATATTAATGACGTTCACAATCAGCATCTACATTCTTGGGTTAGCATATTTAAACGGGCTGTAGAGCGGGATATCCACGGAGACGCTATGTTGTTGTGCTAGGACCAAAAAACTAGTATAGAATCAGGCAGCTATTTGCAACTGATGCGAATAATTACCAGAGTCATCATGTAAAACATGCAGGACAAGTTTGCTGTACAAAGCCTGTATCGAAACTAAATACTTGAGCGAAATTGTAACAATGTCCATTCTTTGCTCGGTAAATAGGCTAAGTTTATAATACGAATAAGCGGGAGATCAGCTGCAATTAGCTCAGTGCGCAAACTAGGTTATAAAAATTCACAATCTCCTAGTAGAGCTAAGTAGAGCATTTACATTTACTTGAATATCTTGAATCTTGAGATAGTTGATATGTCAATTAATTAGGGGTCAGACAGCAGGATTAGGTACTCTCAAGCAAAGGTGTTCCATGGCGTACCGCTATCGACAAAAAAGACGAAGCTTACGTTTGTGACATCAGTTCCTGCCGTAGTCTTTACATAGTTATCTGCACTTTTCATTTTGTCCAGAATATTTTCGGCAACAGTCTGAAAAAGGGACCCTTTCAATAAATATTACTTATCATAAGACTATCATCTGAAACTGAACATGTAACAAGCGCCTTGTAGTAAGAAATATAATTAGCTAGACTCGTAGAAATACCAGCAATATTCGTAGCTACAAATATTTGCCGCATCCAAGTCTAGGTGGCAAGTCAACAGTCCCAAATTTCACAACACATGCTTATGAAAGTCAACTACTGTTGCTCTCTGAAAGACCATTTAGTGCTATCTAATATAAAAATTGATTAATAAGAATTGAGTGAAGTTACCTAGTTTTTCATTCTACTTTTACTCTGAACAGAAATATGCAAAAATATGAATAGCTGACCGATAAATTGGATGCCTTCATCTTGAGATCTTTTACGTTGGTTTCAAGTTCAACCTGAAGAAAAAATTACAAAATAATCAGCACTCAAATGGCTTTCAATCTAAGATGCTTATTGGATTATGAGGACAAATATAAGACTATGAGGATAGAGTATGAAAATTATGATACTAACTGTTGTCTTCTTTATTTCATCTACTGTGTTGTTCTTTATTGACGTCAAATTTCCAGCAACAGAAGCAAGATCGTTTGCGATTTTCTTAAAAACAAACAAACAAAGATGCAAACAAAAATGAAGGAGGCATTCTCGCGAAAAAACTGGTCGAAATATTTAAAATTAGATTAATTAGGAGAATGAGAGAACAATTCAACAAATACAATAGTTTTACCGTGGCATTTGGGTGTGGAAAAATCCGAATTTCATCGGCCAAAGACGTAAGATTTGCAGCAAGTGCTGTAAGATCAGCTTTCACGATACTCTTTTTCAACTGAGATGAGAAATATTAGAACGTAACAGGGCTCAATAAATACAATAATAAGACATTGAATCAATGGCATGGGTGTATATAGCCAAGAGATAATAATTGTCAAATGGGTTACAAAGGATTGGAGAAACAAAAACTTTAAATCTTAGGCAACTTAAATAATAGTCACCAAAGAACAAATTCTTAAAATACTACAATTAAATATACTAAAACAAAGTTTGAAGAATTACAAAATTCTTAATCCCGAGGTAAAATCCTATGCCATAAAGGTTCTTCTACTTGGCTCGTGAGGTCTGGGATAAAGTGTCAGTGAGCTTGCTACTCTTTGCCAGTTTTAAAAATAAAAGTACAATATATTTTCTAAGTTGCAACCTAGTTAACACACGACTCCCTGGAAGAACAGTGTAGAAGAACAGTACTTACTATTTGCCTCTATTTACTTAATTGCATTTAATCATAATTCACTATAAATGTACACTTTTGCAGTATACACTAGTTGCAGGGATATCGTGTATAAATAATTAAAAATGAAAATTATCCATTACTGAGAGACGTAAATATTACACCAAGGAAAATGAAAACATTATTTTTATAACTCAGCCGAAAGATGGTAAAAGCCTGTTAAACCAAGCCTTACCTCATCGAAGAATTTCTGGAAGTCAATTTTATCGACACTCGAATTTTTTAAATCCTTAAGTGACTTCTCGGTATCCGCGTTCAAAACTGTTTGGTCAGAGAGATTGAAGTTCAGCTTGTTAAGGGTTTCATCGATGTTCACAATCTACGGGAATAGCAACATCATATTACAAGGCATAGAAGGATGCCGTGCGTGAGTTAAGAGAAAATATGACCAGATAGTCTGACCAGATAATCTCAAGTGATAGTTCTTGCATTGGCAGTGCTTGATTTGGAAAGGACGCAGGGGGGGGGGGATGGGCTCTTTCCACAAAGCCCTACAACACTGGCGGTCAGGAAGGCACGTGAAACCCATTTGTCCCAGGGATGTATCACGTTTCTTCCCTTTCATCCAAACTGCTCCTGCGGGTCTGTCTTTCAAATAATTCACATGGATATTCAAGGTCTTCAGCATTGAAAAGATGCTAGCAGTAGCCATCTAATCTTACCTATTGCTCATACCTCACCGGGTGTTCAATCAGCTGTCGATTAATATCACGCCAAAGTTGCAAAATTCATAGCTTGTTGATAAGTTCTATTTTCACTACGATCTATTTTCACTAGACCAAGAAATAGTTAACACAAAAGCGCCCACCTTTTTCTATAAAATTAGTATATTACAAAAACCGTAATTCTTTATAGAGACTTGGTACAATTTGGGGATGAAAGCATGTCCGCTCTAAAGGCTTATTTTTTTGTTTAGATTCGGACAGGGTCTTAGAATTCTAAGCTCCCTAAATAATGTAGACCAAAAAAGCCCACCTTTGTACTGAAAAATATACTGCAAATAATTTTTATTTCTCAGACTTTAATTGCAGAAGACAATTATGGATCACAGTGACTTGAAACATAGTTTAGAGCAGAGTTTTTTCACCCACTGCCCTGTAAGATATTCTGGTGTACCGTGGAACATTTTCCAATTTCACCTAATTGGTCCAAATAACAGGCCCCGGTTTCACACTGTGTGAATAAAAATATTTCATTTAATCATAAAGTACCTTTTCATTATGTTTATTGATTCCTATTCAAGACACATAGATGAGAACGACTTTATATTGTGTGTATAAGCCAAGAGTTTAATTTTTAACATTTTCTGTTGGCGGTGTGCCTCGTGATTTTTTCAATGAAAAATGTGCCGTGGATCAAAAAGGGTTGACAAACATTGATTTAAAGGAATTCTCTTAACAAAATAGATAGAATTCAATTTAGCTCAGACCGTTTTAGTGCAAAATTTTCCAATGGCTCTACCTCAACGAATAAGGAGTGACAGGCAAGTAATCCACTTAAAAAAGGAGGCAGTTAGAAAGGCAATAGCCCGATGCTTTCTCAGATGCAGCAGGACTCTTCTGTTTTGCAATTGAACACTAGAAATTGCGAATCTTATAACAATGAGAGACAAAAAATCTGATAACCATCGAGTTTACCACACCCCAAGCTTTACTAGCGTACAAATTACAACCAATCCACAGGGAAAAGCACTAAGATTATGATCGGTCCCACTACAAATTTTCCAGTTTTTCGAGTCACCATAACTTTAAACTGACATAATAAAGCAGAACTGGAAAAATGCCAGAAAACATCAAACATAGCCATAAGCAGCGAAGGGGACAAAAAGATATTGAGAAATATGACAAGGAAACATTCAGCAAATTAAGTAACTGAGGAGGTTTTCTCAACTTCGCCTAAGATTGAGATATGGCGAGGTGGAACCTAATGAGAACGCGAGTTTCTACAAAGCCTTCTGTAAGCATAAATACACGCAGGCAAGATGTCAAGTATGCAGTCTCAGTTAGCAAGAGAGACGGTAACAGTAACAAGTCTTTTTTTCGAATAACAACAAGAAGCAAGTGAAATACACAAATTTGAAGACGACATGTGTAAGGAAATCACCTTTGTAAAGTTCAGCTTGTCTTCCAAATCGTATACTTTTTTTCCATCAATAGCACGATAAATTGGTTCTTTGTTACGACATTTCCTACAATGTGAACATAACCAAATGCTGAAAATGCGGAAACATAAGCAAAACAGAATAAGGGAAAACCGTGATATTTTGAACTCTCATTTTTGATGGCAACCACGTTCACAATCTATTTATATTTTGCGCTACAAATCTGTACGAAATTCGTCTCAAAAAAGATAATCTGAGCTTGCAAGTGGATCAAGTTCTGGACCAAATGCGTAATGATTTATCTAAAATTTGAAAAACGTTTACACCAACATCAAAACCCCACTCCATCACCATTCTTAAAGCTACCCAGTTCATTTTAATTCTCATCATGCATGCTACAGTGAGATTTTTGATTTCATATAAATTTCAGATAAATCTTGTCAACAAAGGATTTGAAAGAGCACACTGCCACGACATATTGAGAACATATAGCACATTACTACAATGTACGGTTTGTAGAAATTGAAGTCTTACTTAAGAATATCCTCGAAAACAAACTGTGTTCCGTTGTATTGCAGCTGGCTCTTGGCAAACTGAAATTATAAACTTAATGAGCTGAGTAATGAAGATAACAAAGCTAGAAGTAACCAAGAAGCGTTTCCACATTTCCTCAAGTCAGAGACAATATTTTCAAGGCTTCCTAAAAATATTAAAACAAATCGCGGTATTGATGTGCTCTTGATGTCCATTTATGTGGCCACTTTGCCACCTGTCTATGTGGGTCCTAAGGCGAGCTTGCTCAAAAGCATGAAAATGTTCATATTTAAAGTCTAAATGTCAAAAAATAATGTCGGCAGGGGTATATTGCTGCTATCATTGCTAATAAGAAAATCAGAGGTTAAAATGCAACATTTAGACTATAAAGAATTTGGTGATTCAAATACTTATCAATATCAAAGTTATGGAGCGCATTTTTATGAATACAAATAAGCAATTCATCGTTTACTGAATTGCTTTGCTGGTATCCCGCCAGTTTGATTACAACTCTGAAACAAAAAGGAACCTTTACTAACAAATATATTTGGGAAAATAAGACAAAATAATAAAGGGTTTACCTTGTCTACCATTTCTCCATCCTTCAGCTCTCGGCATAATATATGCAAATGCTCACCAACGAAAAAGGTAAGAGCAGTGAACAGGAACAGAAAAAAGGAGAATATGAACATAAAACCAACCGATCTGCAAAAAAGCAAGGCAAAATTACCCATGGAATGCATTCTTATTATAACAAACGATAAGAAGTAATGAGAGCTTTGATGTCAAAGCGACCATAGATCTATCTTAAAAGACTACTAGATCTATTAATGTATATTCATTTTTATATGAAAAGAAAAAAAAGCAAGTAAAATTCTATCATTACTCCCAATAGACACTTACGCCATAATGAGGTTTCCACCGTGATGTGAAATGGCTCTTCTGTTCGTCGGCGTTCGCTGCCTATTATATCCACAGATACCGCAGGTGAGGCCGAGTGCAAGAAGGACAACAATTAGGGCGATAATTGCAGATAATCCTGCAAAACCATAGTACCTGGGAAATAAGACGATTGAGATGTTATTTTGGTTTCTTTCTGATCCTTAAAATTACAACTCGAAAAACTCGAAAAAGCGATTTTAGGTGGGCTAACAGAAGACAAGCCGGTAGCGAGTATGATGTTGCTTTGCATCCAATAAGACACTTGCAATGCAGTTGATTTTGGTGATTCTCTTTTTAGAATATCAACAGTGGGAAATGGAAAATAACAACTATTTTAACGTAAAATCCCTGCCACTTATTTTTTTACAATAACATTCTGAAACTACCTATCGCCATAAAGAACAAAGTGTGCAATTCAGCTGTGCTTGAAATACAAGTTGAAATACAGGTTGATTTAAGGCTTACAACTATGAGATATACTCTGATAAACCGTTGGAATGAGTTTTACTTATTATTTAGCAACTATCTTGTTACACTATAAAACGACTTTGTGTCTTATAGCTGTGACACTGCTCTTTATTTGTAATTTCTATAGAGAAAGTTCTGACAATTACCAAACAGAATTGTAAGAAAGATTTTAAAAAACATAAGTAGATAAAGTTAGTATAAATCAAAAATTGTGTTGTTCCCCTAATTTCTTTCAATTTGGAGGCTTCAATTAATTTTGTAAAGTTTAACGATAAGCTCAAATTTTTGAATGAATCAAATCACACAAAACTGAATGGAGAGCTTTTTGTCAACTTTTCCACAAATAGTCTTGTTAACAATTTATTGAAAGTGTTTTCAAACCATTATGATTAACTAACAATCCTAATAGAACTGACAGATGAATATAACAAATGGACCAATAAAAATGCAATTTCAATTTTGATATGAAATATAGGAAACTAAAATAGTGGATAGGCATAGTTTTCTGCAAAGTTAGACTTAATAGAAATATACCTTGCAAATTACTCTTAGGTACCAAATAAGCGTCCGAATAACCGAGTAAGAAGGTCATTTTTTGAAGTAATTTGAAATCCTACCCGCCCTTGTTAGGACCCGCTGCTTATTAAATTTTCAATTTTTGCAGGAGAGCCCTTCAAAAGGTTGAACAACTGAGGTTGAGTTGAATGGTAAAAGTAGTAGGACATTACTGTTCCGTTCTTTTTTAAAACTATCATCTTGATGTTTACAGATATTTTTCCTTTAACACTGCATGGTACTCTTTTACACCCCGCATATTTCGACCCCCCTGCTTACTGAATTTTAAGAAATTTTCCCACTCCCCGACTTATAAGGACCCCCTGCTTATTCAGGACGTAAGAGTAGTTAGCTAAACAAAAACATTGATGGTTGGATAAACAAAAAAAATCCACGTGATTGGATTGTCCTTACTAATTTCAACAAACAAGGGTTTTAAATGAAAGGAACTTATCTTGTTCAATGTCAAATACATGAAAAATTATAATAAAGAAAAAACACTGTTTAACTAGCAATATCAGCAACATGCTTGACTTGTCTCTGGTAATTTGAATGGCCTTGAGCTATTACATTAGGAGAATAGGACTTTATTCTTATGAAAATAAACATTTTTGAAAAATGCTCTGGAAATGAATGGCCATGCACTTGCAATGACTTACCTGAACTTATCCAGATCGATAGAATTCTGGACATAGTCTTTTTTATACTTTTCATACGTTGCTCTGTCATCTAAGATTTTCTAAAATAAAATCAATTCAACATATGTATCTCCAAATGGAGCTGGCAAGAATCAATTTCAAGAAGCGAGAATGGTCCCATTTTCAAATTAGGAACAAATGAGTAGAGCATGGAGGAAAATAAGATGACGTCACAGTTGACTTCCTTAAATATGATGATAACCGACAGCACATTAATTCTTCATGCAGGGAAAGAGCAGTGTTGCAGCAGATCTTGCAGATAATATTAATTATTACTAAAAGTCAATTTGAAAGTTATTTGAAAAAAAGTTCAGGGCATGAGCCAATTAAAAAGGTTTTTTATTGCAATCACTCACATCAATTGCACTGTAGATCTTATCGGTTGAATTAACAATCTTTGTTTTCGCATCATCTGCCAATTTTCTCACATCTTCAAACAAAAATAAAACATTTGTCAGGTTTATTGTATTTATACACTTAACAATACCAGCTCAGTTATACTCTAATATTACAGACAAAATGTACAAAACTGGCCAATGACTTTCAGGCCTTTTCGTTTGATGCGAGCGATCACTCGTGATCGCGTCAGCACTCGCGCAACCTCTATCACGCGAGCGTTTGATCGCTCGCGCAAAACGGTAGATTGTGAGGAATAAATGTCTCTTCAATAAACACGATTCCAGTCATCTTTTGTGACCCAAGCAAGTGACATAGACAATACAAAGCCGGTATATCAAAACACAGGAAATATAAGTTAGCTGAATAAACCACATCTCAACGAAAAATGCACTAGTATTTGAACTACAATAGCACTTAGGACATTTTCTGGACAGCCAGACTATAAAGTATTTTTTCTGCTCGGGGAACGCCAGAACAATAATTTTGAAATTTGCGGATAACGAACGTTTCCCGCGAGATCCTGGGCGGAATTTGAATTTGAAGGCTTTCGAAGGGAACTTGTATTCTTTGTTTTTTCTTGTTATCAGAAGTCAGAAGTTTAAATGTTGGAATATTCGCGGGGAACATGACCAGATAAACAAATATTGCGCGCGGAATATACGGCAGATTCTTAACAGTATTTTGCGATCATTCGGAAATAACGTCTATATGACCTTCATGATATACATAAAGTTTACAAACGAAGCACATTTGTATTGGGTATTTATTCTTTCTTGGAGTATTGGGTCATCATAAAAGTTTGTTTTTATTTGATGTTACCTCAAACAAAAGTGTACTTTATAAGATCATTGCCATCACTATCAGAGCGATCGCTCGCGCAAGAGAAATCACGCGAGCGATAGGCCACTCGCGTGGGTTATTTCTTACAAAAAGGCCTGGACTTTCTTTGAATAGGAGAGTTGGCTTTGAATACGATATGTTGCATATTGCATGCACTTAGGAAGTTTAGACATTAGATTACTTTTCAGAAGTCTGTTTACTTAATATGCAATATTTGTAAACAGCTAAACAGCAATGAGATAACGGCATAATTCTATTCTTCTTGTTGTACATCCTCAGGTACAGTCTGTGGCTGCACTTCCCATCATTATACACTCCTTCTACAACGTATTTTTGTCTTTTAAACTATTGATCCAACTTCACAAAGAGATTTTGGAGGACTGCCGTGTTGCTTTTGTTTCATCCTGGGCTTCATTTTTGCTCTTGTGGTTGAAGTTTGGTATCAAATTTGTTTTTCAGGCAGGAGGCCCAGCTAAGCTTTGATTGGAACCTAAGAAGCATCAGCAAGATCTTTCAATTCGCTTGCATCTCATCCGTGTTTATCTGCTACATTGCTTTTGCTCTTAATCTCAATCTATTTTAGGATTCTTAATCTATTTACTGATAACCATAAAATACACCTAAACAGGTTGAAATCAAATTCTCTTTTGACTTCTGTCCCAAACTAGCCTTAAATTTTTAGACATTGCAGAGGGGTGTACAAAATACCTGACCACCGTCATCCCCAATTTTTCAAAAAATTGGAAAGGAAATCCTATGTCCTAGATGTGTGTTTTAAATTGACTAAGATCTTATCAGTGACAAGTTTACAGCCGCCCTTTGGTCGTGTAACACTACCTAGCCTGACAAACGTGACTAGCACCTGGTATTTATGTTGAGCTTAATGGCAAACTGGATTTATATTGATCAATAACTAGATTGTGAAGAGATATAGTATTAGATTTGGTGTGAGTTTTAGGGTGTCGTATAAATCAGCACGAAAGGAATGCTTCGTTAGATCTTGGACTGTCAATATTAAGGACAATTCTTCTTACAGATCACAGTGAATTTTCTGAACATAATTTCCATTGTGTCATCACTCTTAGGTACTCTATTGAGTAGCCTGGCGGCAAACAAATAAAAGTGACACAAGAAAAGAACAAATACCAGCAAAATAACAGAAACAACATCCAGGAATTAGATAATTCAGGGGAGTTAAAAAGTCACCTCTTACCTCTCAAACCATCTATGTATTCCATTCTCAACTCTAAAAGCTAACACGTACCTGTAAGGGTGCTATCTGCTTTGCTTACAACCGTATTTGGTATGTCGTTAAACACTTTGGTAGCCTGAAATCAAAAGGGTCAATAAAATAAGTGTGTTCCGTGGGACTACAAGGTTACTGACTGCTACATTAAGAACGAAGTAAAGTGCAATCGATATACTTGAAGGTGAGCCGACACGCAAAACTGTTTTTTGATATAATGCAGAAAATGATGCAAGGAATCTTAATCTCAAGTTTTGGGTTAATTATGATTGTCCGTTTTGATGCAATTCTGCTTTAAATGTCATAAAATGCTCGACCATTGTCGGCATTTTATATGACCCAGTGCGTGTGTCATCCAAACACCATGTTTTATTTCTTAAATGCAAATCACGCATGAAAGTTCATCTTGTTCAGTTACTATACGAGGAGATCTATGTAGCCTTTGATCCAAGATACATGAAAATTCAAGGGTAAAGAAATGTGCTGGCTGCTCCTACATTATGATAGGAGGGAATTCAAGTTTAGTAGAAATAGGAATTGTTAGCTGCTCGAAGAAATTCCCAATTCGGAAGTCAATCATGCGGATAAATTAGTGTGACAGCAGCCGTATTTTACAAAATAAATGTATTTTACTTAGATTTCTAGAAAATAGAAACATTCCTGCCAATTCATTTATCGCTACCTTTATTGATATGTTGGCCCACCACACACTGGGTCCTGCGAGACGGAGGAAGGGCCTCAAACGGGTTTAATAATACGATATTCTTGCAAATCTTATTATGAAAGGCCCCTTTGCAATAATTGCACTTTTTGCATCATTTTCAAATTTTGCAATAAAGGGAAATTTAGTGATGACAACGGTATACTAAATAGAGTACATATACAAAGGAATGCAACCATACCTCATCAACTGCACCTGAGAAATTCTGATTCATTATGTTCCGTATATTCGAAAGCTCACTGTCAACATTTGGAAGATTTGTGAAATTGGCTTCTTGTTTCAAGCCACTTGTGTCGATGTTGTTACATTTTGAAATGCCTTGACCAGTACAGTCTGTTTTTATGCGCTCTAAATCGTCTTTAACTTGCTTAAGTTCATTACCAAGCTTAGAAGCTGAAGACTTCAAATTTCCTGTCGTGTTTGATACAACATCCAACGCACCTTTCATTGCAGTGACATCTGAGAAAAAATAAAAATTGAAATTGGGCTGTTTAATTATGGTTGCAACTGTAAATTGGTTGCTTAAAGACATGATACGGTGGTGAAGTCAAGGTGCCTTACAATATTTCAGTTGTTGAGCCTTTTTCCCCTTTGCCTGATGCTGTGAGACATCTGCTGTCAAGGAAATATCTACATAATGCAAAACCATTCTACTTTTTGTTTGCTTTCGTATTGAACATTTAACAAGCAATTTTGCTTATTCATGGGTCATTAGAAGGTGTTCCCCCACATGTTAAAAACGTCATAAATGTAATAGTTATTTACTGCCCCCAAAAAGTTGCAGTTGTTTTTATAGCCCAACTATAGGCTCTTTAGAGGTCCTGTCAAGCTAAGAAATTTGATTGCCATTAAAGAATTGCAACTGTTCAAAACGACAAAGTAGATGTTGCAAGAAAATCGCATGAAAAGGGAACAAACCCGTTTCCATCGTGACTACCCACTACATTTTTTAAGGTCATTTTTGCATTCAGTGGTATTGGGTTGACTAGATATGATATTTTCATAGGAAATCTGTGGTCTTAAAAGTGAATATGGACAAACTTAAAGGAACTTCTTAGAATGGAGAAAAATCAAAATGGCGGGTTTCTGAAACTTCAGCAGAAAAAATCAAATATTCAAATTGCCCCATAGTAAGAACCAAATGAGATATTCAGCCTTTGCCGTTTAATGCCTGTGATCGCAGGCGCATGCATTGGCACGCGCATGCATCGGCACACGCATGTCACCAATAATGCCAGTGATTAATCGCACGCATGAGTTGCATATCTGACCGTTGTTTCTGACCTCCAAAAAATTGTTTTCTCAAAGAAATATTGGAAGTTTTGTTTTCATAAGCTGAGCAAAATCACCTAACTCTTTGATTAGTGCCTATTTTGTCTTCCTAAAGTGAGGCTAATTGCTTTGCTTTGTTCCAATTCCCCCGGAAACATGGCAGTTCAAAACTTTCCCCTTCCTGTTTTCGCCATGATCGGGGTAAATATCTATAAAGTTGCTTAAAGACATCCATTTTAAGACATTCATTTTAAGACATTCATTTTAAGACATTCATTTCGCCAGTGGACATTCATTTTAAGAATAAGACTTTTTTATTAAAATTTGCTCCAAAGAAAGCAATTCTGGCGAACTTGAAGCATTCAGATTATAAAAAATTTGACGGCATTTTAAATACCTTTTAAATACCTTTTAAATAAAGGCAAAAGTTATAAGTTTTTCTGCCCTCCCCCCCCCCTCATACTTACAATGAAATGCTCTTTTTTGATTAAAACGAATCAAAGAAATTTTGTAGGAAAAGGTTTCTTTCTGGTCCCCTCTAGAATTCATTGGACACGATGTTTTCTGAACTTGAAACCCTGTTTACACTGATCTGTAAAAGTTTGGAACCGTGAATTTTGTACCATCACGTTTCCGTTTTTGAATGGGACATTTCTTTTATGGGGTCTGAAAAAGCCAGATATGCAACAGTGTTAATTGCACGCATGATAGAAATAATGTGTGTGGTTTTCCTTATGACGAAGACTGGATATTGGACTGAAATCATCAGATCTTATGGTGTCATTTGCTCCTACAAAAATTGAAAAAAATATGTGACCATGGGTGTCATTGGTGTCCCTTTTGGGATGTCATGTCATGGAATGACCCAGTAGGGTTTCAAAAAAACTTTGAGGTGACGGGGAGGACCTCAGAAATCTCTCATTCTACTCTACACTTTCAATAGGCAAACATTATTTTCCAAAATGAGCCACCATTTATGGGTCATAAAAGAATGAACAGGTGTCTGAGCAGCACATTCAAAAAGGCGTATGTCAGCATATGAACAGTACATTGGAAAGTGTAATATTGGTAAAATTGACTCACTTTCACTAGCAGATTTGACAGATGACAATGCACCCAGAATATGAGGTTCTAATTTGGCCTTTAATGGCAATCCTACAAGTTTTTTCACACCAGTTTTACTAATGTCCGGCACAATCAGTCCATGGTAAAGACAGTCAGTTTTGTTCACTGTTATCTCTTTCATTTCCTAAAACAGAATGTGTTAACAAATTTTTTATCAAAAATGATGAATCTTGTTGAGGAAAACAAGTTTCCAACATTATTTCCAAAAGAACATCCATGTACATTGTATTCATCATAAATATCTTAACTTTGGAATTTTCCATTGCAGATAGTGTCATAATATAGTTAGAATTGACAGTTGATATGAAATTAGAAACCTGGCTTGCATATATAAAAAATGTTGGAACAAAAACATCCAACTGTACTTTTCGGTATTTGGGTGCACAAGTAAGAACAAGGGGTACCCAACCTTATCATGGATTGCCAATGTGGACATTTCTCTTTTAAAAATATAAACATTGGCAAATATCACATAAAATTTTCCACCTTTATTACAAAAGTTGTCCTATTGGTATCATTGGATAAAGCATCATAATAAGATTGGCTCAACCGAGAAAGGAAAATTTAGTTGAAAGCTCATACCTTTCTTACAGATCTTAGATAGCCAAATGCTTCATCAAGTGCATCATCATATGTTTTAGCTGTGCCTGCAACCTCAGCTTTAAGGTTACTGTTCGTAACAAACATTATCAGAACGCCAGTCCTAATTGACAAAAATTAAAAAGCGGCTTTTAGCGAAAAAAAGTTCACTTATTTGGTAAAAGAACAGTGAATATTAATATCTTTAAAGGTAATTTATTGCAAGGCCCTCTATTGAGCCCAATCACCTGAATGATTGGCGAAGAGGCTTTAAAGAACTAAATTAACCGAGCAGCCACAAGGCTAATACCCACAAATAAACAACATGAACACCAAGAAGGGAAATGATCATTTTGAAAGCATTGTTCACGATTCTTGTTGGAAGGGCTCAAGTTTTGTTGAAGAGCTCAAATGAAACAACTCAAAAGCAAAATGACAGCTGAGTGGATAACTTGAGAAGTCTCAAAAGATTAAAAAATTGGGATCTTCATGTTTGGGACTTAATTGTATTTCAAAATAGTATTAGACATAATATGAATAGCTACTGTGTAACAGATGAATGAAAACAACAGAACAGCATGGAAATTTGCAAATTGTGTTTTCCATGCCATCCTGATTGTTTTCTGAATACTGGGAAAAAGCTCGACTTACACCATAAAAATTGTGATTGCAAACAAAATAACAGCAAATATACAGCATTTGAAGTGTGCCTGTGATTGTTTATCATCTTGTATCATGTCTCCTCCACATTTCCCACAAAGCCGGCAGCAGCAGAAACAGCAGCCAACCAAAGGCATTAGTAGTGCAAAAATAATCCCAATGGCAAAACATATCACAATGGGCAGCTCAAATTCATATAACTAAAATGGAAGAGCCTTGTTACCAGATTGAAGATAAAAATTTGTAACTTGCTGAAAGTAGTCAAAATCTAAAGCCAAAGGAAACAAACAAACAAATGGATGCTTAACTTTGACTGCCATAATGGAAAAATAGACAAGCATAAATATAGGTCAACTTCAACTCATACCAAAATTTAATGAGTGCAGCCCTTAAACAAGAGCCCTCACTCCAAGCAATAAGGCTTTAAATGACAAAGGCTCCTGTCAACTAATTCTAAGACATTAAACAGAATGTGGGACTCCTGCTACAAAATATTTCTCAGGTACAAGCTTGTAAACTATGTAAATACTGCCTGCATTTCCACAGTTTCAATATTTAAAACTTATGCCTCTAATTCATCATTTGTTATAGGCTTCTGGTACTCTTTCCTTTCTCCAGGTTGGTGATAAGTAAATCATTTCTGTTCTCTTTCCATGCATCCCTCATTTTTCAAATGACAAAGTATGCAGTTTCAGTGAATCATTTTTGTAGATGTAATTGCTCACTTGGAATGACTGAGTCTTTCTTTCAGAAATGACAGTCCTGAAATTTATTAAATAATTAATTAAGCTAGGCTTCAGTCCTGATAAAAGCTGGATGGAAATTGACTAGCACACCTTTCCTTTCCTGCTTTTCAGTTCTTTAATTTCTTTGTCAAATGAGATTTTGCCATCACTGTCTGCAATGCAATATAGCAAATAATCAGCCAATATTCAAAAAAATTTCTATAAAAATATGGTATATTAATACAGTATGAGCTGATATATCAGTAACCACAGAAAATAAAGCTATTGTGATAGAGAAAAAAGAAAAGAAATAGGAGGATAAAATTCAGGAACAAGCAAAACGGCAGCGAGACAGTGGCCTTACTTGGAGAAAGGTATAACAGGCAATTCCTAAAGAGTGACTTAGGGACATTAGAATCAAAGGCAGTACACTTAGCAAAATTACTACCCAGTTTTCACCATTGAAAAACAGCAACAGAATAGTAAGGTAAACAACATAGTTATCAAAATTTAATCCACTCATGGAAAGCCAATAGCTACCATTGTGTTGTTAACAAAGCAAGCAAATTAACCATCAAACCATTGACAACATTTTTGTTTTAAATTTCAATGTTGGACAGTCTTGAAGCTTTGGAACCTTTGTGACACTTGCTAAAATTTCTATCAAAGACCTTTATGATAGAAAATTAGAGAGATCACATTTAGATGTTGGAGAACCAACATGATCAATATAATTAGTGGAAAGTCACCTTTATGAAAACATTTCCCATTGCATTGAAGCAGTAAAGTGTCATTAATTATCTTGGGAATTTTGGTCTTTTCACTTGATGAAGCAATGAAATTTTATTTTAGGCAATATCTGCATTTGAAAAAAATAGTAATAGGTTGAAAAAATGTGAACTTGAAAACTTGTTACAGATTTTATTGACTGGATTTGATAGAAACATATCACATTAGGCTTGTTGAAGTACAGAAAATTTCATCTTAGACACTTAATCTATTCCTTAATAACAGAAATGAAAAAAGGAGTCTTGGACATTCAAGCATTTTCTAAATTCATTAATACCTACAAAGAAATTTACTACCACACTGGTATTAATGGACCTGGGTCATATATTTGTATACATGAAATTATATATAATTTGACTTCAGATTCAGTTCACTACTTAATTTGAAATCATAGTATTAGCCTGAATGGCAATGCTGGGCTATTGAAGTGCATGTTTGCCTCACGATTACCTGAGGAAGAAATGGCAACAGACTAAACAGATGTCAAAATGTCATTATGATTATGTCACCAGTGTTTCTTTCTAAATACCCTTAAAACAGTCCTTTTCGTGAGCAAAATTACGCGTGTGTGGCAAATCGCACATGTTAGCAAATTTGCGCGTGCGATCGCACTTGTAAGAAAATTTGAAGTACAAACCTGATAAAATTGGTAAAAGGAGCAAGAAGAAAAAAGCCACTCGAATACGTGCAAGAGCAAAACTCAAAATTAATCAATACATAACAGATGTTGTTGCCCTTAGCAGCCATCTTTTAAAAGTCGTCGTCACTCTCCAATGTTACAAGAGCAAGTAAAAATTGTTTCCAACAGCTACTTGCTTTCAGGCCTAATTACGTTTTGACAGGAAATCAGTTATTACACTTAACATGCTAATGGCGACTTAGCTGAAAGACGAGACGCTAAGTTGAATGGAGCACTCAGTCAAAAGCCAAACATCACTTTCGAAAATTGGAAAAATCATATTGTGGTCAAAAGTGCGAATCAAGTAACAAGGGAAAGGATAAACAATCATGAGACCATGGGAAATTGATGTTAAAGGGCCTCTCCAGCAAAAAAAATTTTTTTTAATGACTTAAAAGTTAGCATCTGGTGCGTGTATTATGACAAAGTCATTGTTTTTGAAAAATTCCAATTAGTTTAGAAGTTGTAAGGCCTTACAGTTGCACCTTTCCGAGAAAAAAAACGACAAAAGCCGAATCAGTTTGGTGACATTCTGGCGTCACAATGTGCGGCTCTCGTTCGCCATGAATTTCGTATATCTTCCACCGAAGCGTGAAGGACTCATGGTCACGCGTTGATAACTGCATCCAGTTCCAGTTCCTGTTCCAGCTCTTCCCTCGCGTATAATTAAGCGAAATTGACTCTTCAGTTGTTCTCCAGAAACGATGAACAACTAAAGGCTTCAGAATTGATATCTGAAATGCTCAAACTAAAAGCCGATGGAACAGAACTGAGAGTACTATCACTTGCAGTGTTTAATTTGCGAATCACCGTCGTTCGATTCGGTTTGAGGCGAGACTAACGAAATACACTGTGACGTCAAAATTGCGTCACAGTGTCACCAAACCAAAAATTTTTGTCGGTTAATTCAATTAAATTATCGAAATGCAAGAGCTTATATCTCACAAACTGTAAAAAAATATCGAAAAACAAATAACGAATTCGTGATCAGCAGGCTCAACTTCTTTATAAAAATTGCCAATAAAATGCAAGTGCAAAATTTGGCTGGAGAGGCCCTTTAACAGAAAACTGCAAAAACACCTGTTTGCGCGTGTGGTCAAAAGCACGCGCAATTTAACTTGCGCGTGTGCAGGCGTGTGCGGGTGCGATCGCACGCGCTAAACGAAAAGGACTGCTTAAAACTAGCAAAAAGACAAGTGGCAATGCCAGAGGGCATGCTGGTCAAGATGAGCGTGACAAGCAATTTTCAAATATGTTTTTCTCAATTGAAAAAGTATATTATTGAAATAGCAAAAATCATACGTTCTCTGCCATAGGCAAAGGAGACATAGGGGGCAAGGTGTGTTTGCCCCCCCCCTCACCCAATTAGGCAGCATTTTATTGAACTTCAGGCCCAGTTGGGCAATTATATCTCAATGAAGCAACAATATTCGGGTAAGACCCATCCATACTCAGCAGTGGCGGCTGGCGCCAAATAAAATGTTGTATTAGAATGTAATGACGAGAAAAAAATGCGGAAAAACAAAGTCACTGTAAGCACTGCGCAAAATTCACACTTTAAGGGTTTTTTATCTATCTGATTATAAAAAATTTCGAAACAGTCGGATAAATCACGCCACTGCGTATTCATTAAATTGTTTCGGTCCAGAGAGCTATCTCTATATTATTTGCTAAACCTGAAAAAACATGAGAATTCTTTCTATTTTTTTCAACATCTTCAATCTTGCAGGTGAGGTAGTTCCTTTCATGTTACTAAAAATGTGGTTGTGCCTCTCCACTTCTCTCTTCCGAGTTTCATCCAGATCGCACGCAAAATGGATTCTTTTATGCACTACCCTTACCCTTACAGCCTGTGGGCTAGGTCCTTGTTGTTAGGGTCGCACTGGTGCCACGATAAGCAGATGATAAAGATCTTGGAAATTAAAATGAGAGCCTCGAGTCGAAATACTCAACTAGAACATTCGATTTTTCAAAAACATATGAATAAGCTGCAAAACATAGATTCCAGTTCAGGAGGTTTTGTCCTTACTGACTTTCTGAAACTTAGGCCTTATTAGTATACAATGCTGTTGCAAATATCACCGAAATACAACTGAATTGCAAAAATGAAATGAAATGTTTTCCTATTACAATATTTACAAAAAAACTTGTTTTGATATAGGTAGGCATGGCATGTGAGCAATCTTTTAATGCCAGGGCCTTTACCTTTTTCAAATGAAAATAACTGCTGTGATTTAGCAAAAATTTACCAAACAACCAGAAGTTCTTTGTTATGCCACTGCCTTCCCTTTCTGGAAATTTTGTAACTTTCTGAGCTTTGTCTGTACATGCCTCATAGCATAGTTCGTTCCAAGTGACTATGCTAACTTAAAGCTAGCACATCACACTTTTTACTACTTCTCTCTATTCTGTGATGCCATAGGGGTAGTACACATAGGAGCTAGGGCTGCAGCCCCCCCTCCCCACCAGTCAGGCATCGGATTTCAAGCCCATTCAGGCAATTTTATCTTCAGGAAGCAACAATATTCTGGCAAGATCCATACAAAGCCCCCTTAATGTTTAGCCTCTGCCATGTCCATGTTCTCTAAATCTTTTTGCTGTCGTCAGGTATTTCTAGTCTGTGGTATAAAGCCTTTTTGTTTTATTATAATCATTATGACCATGAACATTCTCTCAGATATTTATGCCAGAAGAAAAAGACCCTGGATGAGGTTGTCTGTAGGATTTTATTTATCTTGGGATGAGAATTTTATATGAAGCAAAAGGCAGGACAAAAAGCAACAGGAAGAGGGGCACACCATAAAATAAAAATCTAGTTTGAAAGTCCAAAATAAAAAATAAAGTAATGGCTCAACTCGCCAAACCAGACTTTGATAAAGTTATGGCTTTTGGAATAGAATGAATTGATAAAACAAAGGACCTACAATCAGACATTTTCAGTTAAATGGCATGGACTTGGAATAAAAACCACAGAACTTGACTGCAACAAAAATTGACAGAAATTGATTGAAAACAGCAAAATTTCTTTTTCGGCTTGTACAGCCCTAGCCCCTTATGTAAGGCTTGCATTGAATGCACCTTGGCCATTGGTCATGAAGCAGATTGCTTCCTTGTTCCCCTTTCTTAACAAAATAGCTTTTGAATTGTAATTGTAATTACCATGTATTTACCAATAGTTTTCATGAGAATCACAAACTAAGTTCAATAACTTGTTCAGTTTGGTTCACAAAACAAAAATACAAATATAATCTAAAATCAACCTAAAAAATGAAAAATAATAAAATCTAGTAAAAAATTTGCACAATGAGCTATAAACATATTGATATTTGATCAGGGTTAAAAAGACAGTTAAAAATAATAGTTAAAAAGCTGTTTTAGAATCCAGCCATACTTATTTACATTTATTCTGAAACAAATCTACATTGTCACATTGCCTTGATGAATTAGGCAAAGAGTTCCACATTATATAAAGACTTTTGATAACCCGTTGGAATATACATGCAAGAATTTGTAACTCAAGAACTCGCAAAATTTTCCTGGCCTTCTTCATAAGCGTATACAAACAATTAAAGAAATAAAAATTCCATGTATACTTTGCTTTCTTGAAAAGACAATCATGAATGCGAAGATGACATTGTCAAGCATTCTAAGGTTGTGATCTTACAGAAAACCCAACTTTATATCTTTATATTTTCCGCCTTCGCCTAATCTTTGAATCTGTGGTCTACCGGTTTTAACCCGAATAACAGTAGCCTAGGCAACTATACAGGAAAGAAACACAAACCATGTAGGTCGAGAGTGTTAATTGATCTGTGCAACCAGCATTAAAGAAAATCTACCAAAAAACTCACGAGAGACAGTCAATAAAAATAATTGAGTCACAGATTCTGGACTCGGTTTGTTGTTTAAAAAAATCAGTTATCTTGTCTATCATCTCTCAAAACTAATCCACAGGTTTAGAATTGGGAGTAGCAAAATTTCAAAGCTGGAATCTTTCAACTGTTACTATCAACAGACAACAGCGTTGCGTAAATAGTTGTTACAAAACATTGCTCCTCAGGCGTGGGCAATATTTGCTGATGTGCTCAAATAGGATGCCCATTTCGAAAGTCGTTCAGGACTGTTGTCAGGGTGTGCCGCTTAAAAAGGTACTTAATGTTCGATTCCCGTCCAAAAATTGATTTAGAAATAAATGTAATATTGCTGAAATGAATGTGACTGAAAAAAGTGAATTCATCTCTCGCTATATAAAAATCTGTTTTCCGCTGACAAGAAGCAATTGGTACGAAGCAGTGAAAAAATATCTTCAACAATTCTGTTAGAATTTAAACAATTCTTACCTCTCAGGTCTGGAATCTCCTTTTTCTGTACCGTGTTCATGAAAGATTCAGCAAGGTTGAAAAATGCATCCAATCCTTTGGCGTCATATTTAGTTTTGATGGCTGAAACAGCCTTTGCATCCCTTGTTGTTGGTGGAAAAGTAACTTTAGGATTATTTGGATCGGATAAGTCAACTGACACCCCGGTTGGGTTGGACGTCGACAAGTATTGTGTACACTTCTTTGCTGCTGATGTATAAGATATCTCGAAAAAGATGAATATTAAAATCAGCTTCCACTTCATTTTCAGAGTTCTTCCCAGCGTCTATGAAGAACGTCTTCTTGCCTCACAATCCTCGCACTGTATTCTTAGGCCTAACGTGCGTTGCGACCTGCTCACAGTAAGCACTTCCTCCGGGAACTTCAACTAAACAAACAAATCGTTAAGTTAAAAATTCAGAATCTTTGAAGTTAAACCTTTTCACGAGTATAAGTCCTGTCCAGCAGATTAAACAATATGATCCGGACTTTCCTCTGAACTCTCTAGTATCCTTTTCTCGTCATAACTTATCTCAACTTTCCTCTTCTCTTCAAAAGACGTCACTTTTGGGTCATGTGACTACCGAGTCACGTGCTACCATACAGGCAGCAACCGTGCAATATAGGCAGGGAATTTTCCTCAACAATCTGAACTTGAACCTAACTTTGAATTTCATTTTACAATAATAGCAATTCGACCATGCTGATTCCAAATCCGAGATGGGCCCTTTGAAATTTCGACCGGAACTGTGAATGTTTGATGACGTCACAGAGGGACATTTTTTGCCAGTAAAACACTCAAAGCGGGGCAAAAATACACGTAAATTGAGTGAAAACGGTCTCAATCGATAGTTCTCGATGTTATGATTTGAATGGTATATAGTTCTCAGAGTTTTGGAGATGTCAGCAAAAAAATTGATGACGTCATCATTTGGCAAAATAGTAAAGTACTAGCCCCAGTTACGCGCGCTACGCGGGCACACTGCAGCCCTTACGTCCGCGAGTGTAAAATTTCCATCAGCAAAGACAAGAATTCTGTTAAAACAGCCAATTAATTATAATAAAATTAGCCTTGGTAAAGACAAGAATTCTGTCGAAGCCCCCAATGAATTATAGGAAATTCGCCCCTGAAAGAAAAGACAAAATGTCTAGCCTCTATCTCAAATTGAATGGACACGCCCCATAGGGGTCACGTGATAAAAAGCAGCTTGCGCTGCTAAAAAATTTAGTAAAAAAATTAACTCGCACTCCTGTGACTATCACTAGGAAGGGGGCTATTGGCAATAGGCTCCTTTTCAACTGATGTGTACTAAAAGTTTTCCTATTTTTCAGTGTTATTGCACTATAAAATAGTAATTACTTTTTCACTGAAAATTGATAGATGTAAATTTGTCTCTTTTAAAAAGGCTAATGTTGCTAATATATTCTATTCTATAAGCTATAGGGTGCCTGCGCATCAGGTTTAAGGTAGCAGTCTACCATGAAAATGGTCAGTTATGAAAATTTTGTCAAAATTCCTTTTTCCTTGGATATGATCAGGAAAATTACTGCAAAATTTGAATTTGAAGGAAGGTTTCCCGTAACTGTTGTAGTTTTTGCGAAAATTTGATTTATTTATCCCCTGGGTTGATCATCTTTCCTTAGCAACCAAGTTTCTATCGGTTGCTAGGGGGTCTGTTGACACCCATGGGACCCGTTTTTGAAAACAAATTATATTACGTAATCTATGGTCTTCTACCCTATCCCAAAATGCATTTATACCACTTTAAAAAGCACAGGGAACGAATGAAGCATAGTTTCTGTTTGGCCTGGCCGACGAAAGTTGTTCGAAGAGTCCTTCTGTTTATGAAGCGAACTTATCCGACAATGAACGCCCTGAAAAGAGAGTTTTTAATCGAAAATTTAGGTCGGTAAAACGAAGAAAAGAAAAAGATCTGCTGGAAGTAGAAAAAACTATGTATTCGAAGCAATGACAAGGATTTGGATTACTTAGGCCAAAGCGAGAGGGTGATGAAGAGAGCGATGTTGGGCCGGAGCCGTCGCTCTCATGCAAATGGTACCCCTCATGTCAAATATGTACCTGACGTGTCGAATTTTCAAACACGAAAAAAAATATAAAGATACCAATAAAACCAACAGATGATTATATTCATGAATTCGGCAACTCTTCTTTATCCGTTTTCACTTAATATCGGGGTTATTGCCGATCGTTTTCTGTCAATATTCAGTAAAGTAAACCAACCACTATAGGCCCGGTGAACACAAAACAAAGCTCCCACGACTAAGTGTCGAGTCTTGTTCAGAAAGGCAGGGGATTCCCTGTGTATCAGCAATGATTACTGGGGGGTACGGGCAAAAATAAATCGAATTAATCTTCAAACACGTAATTCGAAGAAACGAAAACACTCAATGAAACGACATGTGCTACAAAGAATACAAAGTATCATCAAATACGTGTGTAATCAGATTGGTACCACATAATAAATCAGAATCTAGCTTTTTTCGCTCCGCCACCAAGAGACGGTAGAGACTTAGTCTCTGGAAGGGTCGGCTCCGTGTACCCCTCCTGTCGAATTTTGAAAAACTTACCAAAATGCGCCGCTTCTCAAGTTTAGATGAAACTTAATGTCAAATACGTGTGTAATAAGATTGGTACCACATGATCTTGATCAAAATAAATCAGAATCTAGCTTTTTTCGCTCCGCCACCAAGAGACGGTAGAGACTTAGTCTCTGGAAGGGTCGGCTCCGTGTACCCCTCCTGTCGAATTTTGAAAAACTTACCAAAATGCGCCGCTTCTCATGTTTAGATGAAATTTAATGTCAAATACGTGTGTAATAAGATTGGTACCACATGATCTTGATCAAAATAAATCAGAATCTAGCTTTTTTCGCTCCGCCACCAAGGGACGCTAGAGACTTGTTTCATCTAAACACGTATTTGACATTAAGTTTCATCTAAACATGAGAAGCGGCGCATTTTGGTAAGTTTTTCAAAATTCGACAGGAGGGGTACACGGAGCCGACCCTTCCAGAGACTAAGTCTCTAGCGTCCCTTGGTGGCGGAGCGAAAAAAGCTAGATTCTGATTTATTATGTGGTACCAATCTGATTACACACGTATTTGATGATACTTTGTATTCTTTGTAGCACATGTCGTTTCATTGAGTGTTTTCGTTTCTTCGAATTACGTGTTTGAAGATTAATTCGATTTATTTTTGCCCGTACCCCCCAGTAATCATTGCTGATACACAGGGAATCCCCTGCCTTTCTGAACAAGACTCGACACTTAGTCGTGGGAGCTTTGTTTTGTGTTCACCGGGCCTATAGTGGTTGGTTTACTTTACTGAATATTGACAGAAAACGATCGGCAATAACCCCGATATTAAGTGAAAACGGATAAAGAAGAGTTGCCGAATTCATGAATATAATCATCTGTTGGTTTTATTGGTATCTTTATATTTTTTTTCGTGTTTGAAAATTCGACACGTCAGGTACATATTTGACATGAGGGGTACCATTTGCATGAGAGCGACGGCTCCGGCCCACTATGGCTGGATGAAGATGTACTGCCTACCTCGTCTTCACAAGCAACAACGGATCAAAGCAAAGAATTAGAGGAACACAGTGCTTCACTTTATGAACTTATGAACTCTTTCTTTGGTTCAGAAAACCTTAGTCCCATAAAAAGACCAATTTCCGGATAAAAGAAGCGAAGGATGCTACTGATGGCAATATTGGCAGTGCTGACGATGGCTACAGCCTTATAGATAAGAAACTTTTGATGAATGCAATCAACAAAATTGCTGTTTGTCGTACATGTAGGAATCCAAAGGCACAGTTAAGCCTGCTGCTTAGTTTGGTCTCTAGTTTAGCAATAAGTTTGGCCTTGCAGAGAAATATTATCTTGTATGTAGCCATTGTCATACAAGTTCACCACTTGAGACCAGTGAAAAGCTCAGTGGATCTAAGAGGGCAGACAAGAAAGGGGGACAGACCACATATGAAATAAACTGTAGATCAGTTGTTGCTTTACTAGAAACTGAATGTGCTGGGTTGGAGAGATCTTTTGGCTTATGAGTCTTCCAAACATTGTCTCAAAGTCACCTTACAGCAAACATTTAAAAAATCTTGAGGAAGTGGCAGTAAATGTATGTGAAAACATTATGAATGAAGCAGCTTATAGAGATCATTGAAAGAGAAGAGCATACAATGATTGAATTTGATAAACCATCCACTGGAATGAGTCCTTGCATGGTATGGTATGGGCATGATGTCCAAAAACCTGTCAGGTTTAGTGGTTAGAGATCAGTGATTTAGTGGAAAACGATAAGTTACAATCACTGTTTGCCATTCTGTTGGAAATTTCAATATTGGGCCATCATCAATTGCAGATGTTTTGAAGGCATTACAACTTAAATGTGGCCAAACAAACTTTAAATTATTTGAAAACTGTTGACAATAGAAGGCTGAAAGATGCTGCAAGGAAGGTTTCACAGAAATACAAAGATCGGAGACAAAAATTACAAGCTGCCACCTTAAAAACATCACAGAAATACAAAGATCAGAGACAAAAATTACAAGCAATAAAGAAGCGAAGACTTGATGAAGCTAGGAATAGCTATTTATCAAGGGCTTTTGGTCTTTCTGCAGAGCCTGAAAACATTTCTAAAAAGGTAGTTGATGCAAGTCTAAAAAGGAAAAGAGGAAATAAGGAAGGAAAGAAAAAGAGACCTAGAAAGTCGACGGACCTGTCGAGTAATGAACATGGATATTTCAACCAGTTTGAACCCCGAGTTACCTTTATGATGCCTCTAAACATTATTATTGACTTCATTTAACATTTTTGGTTGTATCTATGGGTACATTATGTGTGATACACAACCAAAATTCAGTCAAGTTGCAAAAGATAAGAAAAATTAGTTATTCAGTACATCTCAAAACTTCAAATGCACTTTTCTCAAATCTCAAATACGGACATCTATTAAGCTTGTGATTAAGATATCTTTGGCTCTGTATAAGATATGAAGATGAAATTTTCAAATAATATGTATCTTTTAATGCTCTATGCAATAAATACATAGATTTTTGATAGAAGAAATATTTCACAAAATATTTTAGAAAACTCAACTTTTCACAATAAAATATCTAGCTGACTTGGTATCATAAAACTGTGTGTTCATTGCATAGATTATGTAAGTAGAAACTTGTTGCTAAAAAATTTTCACCATAGCCTTTAGCATTCATGAGATATCATTTCCACAATTTGCAGAAGTTTGGCCTTTGTTTTTATGTTTCTATGGCAACGTCATTGCCACACCCTTCCAGACATCTTTATTTGCTTTTTAAATCTTACATTGTTTATAACCTGAAAGTTTCAAGCTTCAAGCTCAAGCCATTATCAAGTTTTGGCCAGTTTTCCATATTGCTGCTTTCAAGGCATCTGGTACACTTGCCCTTTAGACCAGTTTATGGGTTAACCTTAAACCTCTCCCGCTCTTTGTTTTGTATCACACGTTTAAAAAATCTTAGAATATACTTCTTTAAGCTGTTGTTGGCCTGTGATGAATG